TGTACATATCATATATAAAACATATGTTTAATAGAATAAAATGAGGAACGATGAAGAGAACAAAGTTTATATACATATTGAATCTTTTGACTCATACAGGCATATCACCTACCAGTATCCTTTATTTATCTTAGAAAATTAATCCCAGTGCTAGAGAGATGGCTCAGTGGTTAAACTACTGACTGTTCTTCCAGAGAACCTGGGTTCAATTCCCAGAACCCACATGTCAGCTCACAGTTGTCTATAACTCCAGCTCTAGGGGACCCAGCACCCCTGGGAAAACATCAGTGCACATTAATTAAGAAAGTGAATCCCTAACCTCTTTAGTCCAGTCAGTGTCTCACCATAGCCTTGATAGAGTACTTACCAATGACTTCTTTTTTTCTTGTTTTGCAAAAATTCCAAACTTCACCAAATGTGTTTGGTCCTTGTCACTGGGATTGAACCGGAGGGGCTTCCTACACGATAGGTTGTGGCTCCAGCATTATCTGTATACTCAGCCCTTAGTTTAATTTAACTTTTGTTATTTTTTTCTTGGAACTCTGTAGACCACGCTTCTGTAGAACACAGAGATCTACCTGACTCTGCTCCCTGAGTGCTGGGATTAAAGATGTGGGCCACCATCACCCGGATTTATTATTTATTTTTAATGTTGAGATGATACTAAGGGTGGACTTGACCTCAATTCATAGCTCAGTTGGACCTGGAACTTTCCATACTCCGTTCTCCTTGAATAGCTGGAATTACATGCATGCACCACAAGGCTTGGCTAGCAAGTATTTCTTTGCCTTGTGTTTTAAAAATATTTACTTATTTAACTTATTTTATTAACACTTATTATCTGTTGCTTTTTAAAATTTGAAATCTAGTATATCTGGGCAGTTTTGTTCAAGAATTCTTAGAACTTCTGAATACTCATCTGTAAAATATACCTAAATTTTTAGCAATTAGGTTTGTGGGCCAACTTCAAGAATGTGTGTTCAGCTGGACATGTTGGAAAATCCCAGAACTTGGAAGGTAGAGGAAGAATCAAAAGTTCAAGGTTAGCCTTGGTTTCATAGTAAACTTGGGACCAGCCTGGGCTATACCAGATCCTGTCAACACACACAACATACAGAAACCACCACAACTGTTTTATAGGTCGCCTTCATTGTGGCATTTATCACAGCAAGAGAAAAGCTTAGTGCCAATGTGAATGAAAAAGAAAAAGAAGTAAAAGGAAAGGGCATAACTGCTCCCAGGTGTGGTGGAGTGGAGCGTCTATTATAGATATATGGGAGAACACAGGCAAAGGCAGGGACCTCTGAGAAAGTCCAGAGTGGACATGACCCATGTGAGGAGAGGGGAAGACCAGGGGAGAGGGGAGCCAGGTGCTGCAGCCAGGAGTCCCAAAAGTACAAAGAGGGACAGGTAACCAAAATGTCTGGATTTTATAGGGAGGAGCCTCTGAGGGAAAGGGCAGCTCAGCTCCTGGGCTAGAGAGTTCAGGGTAAAGGGGGCCATATCCTGTAATAGGTTTGGACTGAGGGATACTGGGAGAACTTAGTGGCCAGGTCTGCTTTGATATGTTACATCGGCAGCTCAGCCATTTGTCTCATTTGAACCTTAACATAATAGAAATTGGTACCAAGAGTGGGAGATTGCTGTGATGAACTTGACCATGTTGGTTTTTGGGGGGAGTACTGTGGAAGGATTTTGGAGATCTGGGCTAGAAAACAAGGTAAGATGCACAGTTTGTAGAGAAAAGGAGCTCTGGGAAGCTTAACATTGCAGCCAAGGTGTGTGCTGCAGAGAGGAAGATTAGCATGGTTAACGAGAAGCTTGCTCTGCATGTAACAAAGGGAAAAGGTACTCTGTGCAAGATCCTACCTCGCCAAGCTTTGGGTGTGTAAAAGAACCGAAAGCACTTTGTGATCCTAGAAAACAACCGAATAAAAGCATTGTTGTTCATGTGATTCGAGAGACCCAATCCCAAGCTGGTAGCTGCACTTGGCTGTGTTGTCCCAAGGTGTTGGCTTTAGACAAAAAGGAGACAAGAGTGGGGGATGTGTCACAGATCATCCCTCTGTGGCTTCAGGGAGCCTCTGAGTCCAGGCAGCCTGTGTCAGGGCAGTCCCTGCCTGAAGGCCCCAGAGTAAGAGGCTGCTGGAGATAACTGTGTATCTGGAGATAACTGTGAAAGAGAAGCCTGGTTGCAGTGGACACTACAAGATGTTAGAGATGCCAAGGAGAGCTGCCTATAGGAAGTAGGACCAGCTCGAGAGAGATGTCTGCTACACGCAGGAAAACTACTGGGAAACAGCTATCTAAGCCCTTGACAGAAGACACAGAGCTACAGGATTTGGTGTTGGTCCTGCTGGGTTCTGTTCATGCTTTGGCCCAGGATTTTCATACTATGTCCCACTCCCACCCTTTTGGAATGTTAATATGTATTCTGTGTCTTATGTTGGAAATGAGTGACTTGCCTTTTGATTTTACAGAGGGTTCATTCTGAGACGCTTTGTATCTTAGAAGAGACTTTGGGCTTTTAAACAGTGTTAAGACTATGAAAGACTACAGGGACTTCTGAAGTTGCAATAAACACATTTTGCATTATATGGCTAGGAGTCTATAAAGACCAGGGAGTAAGATGTACTGGATTGGATGAAAAATGTTCCCCACAGGCTCTGGTATTTGAACTCATGGTTTTCTGTCAGTTACACAGTTTAGGGACATTTAGGTGGTATAGTCTTCATGCTCATGGTAAAGGATGTGAGCTTTCAGGTTCTTACTCCAGCCACCATGCTTGCTGCCTGCTCCCATGCTTTGCCTCTGAGCTGCTTCTCCATCCCCTCAAACTTTTATTTTAGAATGCTATTTTTTATTTATTCTCTCTCTCTCTCTCTCTCTCTCTCTCTCTCTCTCTCTCTCTCGTGTGTGTGTGTGTGTGTGTGTGTGTGTGTGTGTGTGTGTGTGTAGTACATACATACACATGTCCTGCCCCTGGCATTTGGATATCAAAGGACAATGTCTGGGAGTTGGCTCTTTCCTTCTACTGTAAGAGTTCTGGAAATGGTTGTGAGCTAGACTTTAACAGCTGAGCTGTAGTGGCACATACTGCTAATCCCAGCACTTGGGAGGCAGGTGATTCTCTATAAGTTCAAGGCCATCCTGGTCTACAGAATGAGTTCCAGGATAGCAAGGGCTACACAGTGAAACCCTATCTACAAAACCCCAAAACAAAACAAAACAGAGTTCAGGTAATAAAGCTCTACTGAGCCTAACTTCTCAAATTTGACACCAGCCAAATGGACCTGGTACCTACTAGAGTGCCTGTTTCCACCCAGTTTACCAGCCATGCACTATTTTTAAGTATTTCCTGACTTAATGAGTTAGCACCAAGTTCGCTCATTGTCTCCTTTGTGTTACAATAATATTATAAACAGTGAGAAGTTCTACTTGTTGGATAGAAAGTTTATTGAATTGGCAACTGTATCTGGAAATAAAGCTTTGAGCAAAAGACATTTAAAGTGAGGCTGTGATAAGCAGAACCAATTTGAAGATTTGTGTTCAACATACCGTGATATTTTAGCAAGAAATATGGTATTAACTCACCTATGGCTATTAGGATTTTGTAAAATTTTTACTCCTTTCCAGATGGAAGTAAAATGACCAGAGTGAGCAAAAGAAATGGAAATTGCAGCCTTGTTATATCACTGTGTGTGTGTGTGTGTGTGTGTGTGTGTGTGTGTGTGTGTGTGTGTATGTTGCTTTGAGATTTCTTTCCCTGGGAAACAAATATCTCCTTACAATGCATGAACTATAAGGTCAAAGCAAGAACCCCAATGTACATCTTGGAGTACCTATAAGTTTGTTCTGCTTACTACAGAGCATGGGTGAGGAGTTGCTTGCCCTAGTGTGGAAGATCTCAAAACATCTGCACCACCAAAGAGTTTCATTGCAGCATCATGGCTGCATAGACAGTTCCTTTTTTCAGTTAGCCTTCCACAGTCTATATACCCCAGCACCTTCTGAGAGGTGAGGCTGCCTGCAACTTCAACAGTGTTACATATACATTGCCAAATGGTGAAGGCAGGAGTAACATTATCTTCAGGCAGGGAATAATACTAAGCCAGTGGAGATCCTGGGATCAAGGACAGACTTGGCTTCCCTAAACATTATAGACAAAATAGACTTCCAAACAAATCATATCCAGGATTAATGAGGGAAGGGCTGACCTTGACCCAAATGCTTTTCTACAATAGGAAAAAAGAAATAGTATACTTGGCAACAATGGCCACAAGAGGTATCACCCACAAGGAAACATAAGCATTACTGAAAGATTCAGGTGCAGATGGCATAAGGGATCTGAAGAAGGAAAAACAGCTTACACTTGGGACAGATTTCAACATATGGTTAGTAAACAATGCCTTGCTGTGTTACTGTGTTTTATACTTTCCCATTACAGATTCACAGTCAGCTTAAGTAAGCTCAGAAATAAACGTGTTTTTAATTCTTATTTCTACTTCAGATACTGGCATATTCCATTCACTTCCTGCCATAAGTCAACAACTAAAAGTTTAATTTCAAAGAAGCATCATTTATTTACTATACATTGATGACTATGGTAAATAGGGATAAGGAAAACAAACAACGGAGAGGGGACACCACAACCACTGCACATCACTAGGGACTTCAGGTTTTGTCTTGTTTCTTAAGGACAGGGTCCTCTGGTAGGTACCCCAGGCTAGTTTTGAACTTGCTACACAGCTGAGGAGTGAGTTCCCGATCCTCTGCCTCCCGAGCGATTAAACTTGAGGTGTGTACCACCATGCCCGATTTCTTTGCAGACCTTTGCGTTTGAAAGCGCTATATTGTTTTAACAGCGTCTAACAAATACTCTCAACGTCTTTGCATATTACGAAATATTGTTATAGTAGCTGCGTGGCATCTGGATGATCTCCAAGTGACCTCGGTCTCATGGTGTGTGACATTCTGAAGAGTTCTAGTCAGTTCCCCCAACACACCAAGGAGGCCTGGCTGAGGCTGCAGCTTTTTGTCCTCCCCGGGATTTCCTGAGGTAATGATTGCTTTCCTTCTCTGGCAACACCGAAAAATCTGTGCATTATCGTTGAGCTAAGGTGAGGATCGCTAAAGGAGCAAGACGTGTTCACGAGGCGGAGCGGCTGACTCGCAGCCCCGGAACCTGGCGGAAGTCCTGCCCCGCTCGGCTGACCTCTGACACCGGGCGCCGGTGTCCCGGCGGAAACGCTGCGCTGAGGGAGGGCGTGTGCGCGCATGCGCACACGGTGGGCGACCGCAAAGGCTCGTTTAAGGTAGTGACGGCGGTCCTTTCTGGCGGCCGGGTTTCAGGGTCGGGATGGAGGGCGGGGCGTGGTTGTGTAACCCCGAGATCTCCTAAGGCTGACCTCTGCCCGCCACGGCTGTGCGAGGTGGGGCTTCCCGAGAGGTTCGCTGCCCCACAGCAAGTAGATAAATAAAGGGCGCTTCACGGAATGTGCTTTGACCGTAGAAATATCACACAGGCTCAGTGCACACCGTGCAGCAGTCCTCGGTGAGCCTGAAGAAGGATGCCGCCTGCTATCGCATCAGAGTGGGGTGGCCTCGAGGCTCTCCTTGTCCAGTTTTCTTGGACACTGGTGAGCTGGCTGTCTGAGGTCCCTCATAGCTTAGAAACAAAACCTATGCCCAGACGAGGGTGGCATTTCTCTGTGGCTTTAACACACGACTGTTAGGTCTTACCGATGTTTAAACGGCACTTGCTGTCTCTTGTGGTCTGTTCCAGGAATGTGTTTCTGAGCTTCTGAATTCAACCATGTTGTCAAACTGCTTACAAAAATTTCTAAAAGCCACAAGCTCTCATCCACATCCAGCGTCATGCTGTTGGTTATTAAGCAAACGCAAGTTTTCTGGAACTATGTCAGCAACCATGTTGCGTAGGCGAGTTGTCATCACAGGCATCGGACTAGTGACACCACTTGGTGTTGGGACTCAACTAGTTTGGGATCGGCTCCTCCGAGGAGAAAGTGGAATTGTTTCTGTAGCTGGTGATGAGTACAAGAGTATTCCTTGCAGTGTAGCAGCTTATGTGCCAAGAGGTACTGATGAAGGTCAGTTCAATGAACAGAACTTTGTGTCCAAATCAGACACCAAGGCCATGTCGTCTCCCACCATCATGGCCATCGCGGCAGCTGAGTTGGCCCTGAAGGACTCTGGCTGGCATCCGAAGTCAGAAGCCGATCAGGTGGCCACTGGCGTTGCCATTGGCATGGGTATGGTTCCTCTTGAAGTTGTTTCTGAAACTGCTTTGATGTTTCAGACCAAAGGCTATAATAAAGTCAGCCCATTCTTTGTCCCTAAGATTCTGATTAACATGGCCGCAGGCCAGGTCAGCATTCGCTATAAACTCAAGGGCCCCAATCACACAGTGTCCACCGCCTGCACAACAGGGGCCCATGCTGTGGGAGACTCCTTTAGGTTTATAGCCCATGGTGATGCAGATGTGATGGTGGCTGGGGGCACCGATTCTTGCATTAGTCCATTATCTCTTGCCGGGTTTTCCAGAGCCCGGGCTCTGAGCACAAACCCAGATCCTAAACTGGCCTGCCGACCGTTCCATCCAGAGCGAGATGGGTTTGTCATGGGTGAGGGTGCTGCCGTGCTGGTGTTGGAAGAACGTGAGCATGCTGTTCAGAGAGGAGCCCGGATGTATGCGGAAGTTCTGGGCTATGGACTCTCAGGGGATGCTGGCCACATAACTGCCCCCAATTCTGAAGGAGAAGGTGCCTTCAGGTAAAGACTGGTTCTATTCAAAATATTTTCTCCTGTAAGACACTATTGGAATTTCAAATTTAAAAAAAGTTATCCAGTCTTGGTATATAGTATATATTTTTTCTATCTTAAACTAAAAGCATTTTTTAAAAGTTCTTTGCTTAAACTATTGGAAAACATTTGAACATCTTTAAACAAAAATCAAAGCCAGTAGAGCTGTGTCTTTGCTGATTCTCGGTGTTCTCCTTTCTGCTTGGTAATCATGTGTTCCCTTCCTCAGACTCCCTTCGAACCCCATCAGACCTGGAGAATAATGACAAGTCCTGCCAAATGTGTCTAGTGGGCCTCTGTCCTTTTCAAAACAGCCTTTTCTCAGCCAGGCATCCAGGGGTCTCGCTGATGGCTGATTCTGACTGGATCTAGGTTGACACTCAAGAGTGCTTTTCTAACCAGCTCTAGTCTAAAGACCATACTTTGAAAAAGAAAAGTCCTAAATAATATTTGCTTAGCTTAGGCCATATTATGTTTTATCTAGTTAAATCTGTCAGGAGTTAGTGAGATTTCCAATACAGGACAAATACTAGCTATTTTTGGCTTTGTGGATCACAGGGTCTCTGCCATCACATTCTGGAAGGCACTCACCCAGTGTTATTGGAAATCTTTATTTCTTTTACACAAGCTACTTGCTAAATGCATTTGATAATTTTCTTTTCTTATTAGATGCATGGCTGCTGCTGTAAAAGATGCAGGTGTGTTGCCTGAACAGATATCCTACGTGAATGCCCATGCTACCTCTACGCCACTAGGTGATGCTGCTGAAAACAGAGCCATCAAGAGGCTCTTCAGAGACCATGCTGGTGCCCTTGCCATATCCTCCACAAAGGGAGCCACCGGGCATCTGCTGGGGGCTGCAGGGGCAGTTGAGGCAGCTTTTACCGCACTGGCTTGTTACCATCAAAAACTACCACCAACTCTAAACCTAGATTGTACAGAGCCAGAATTTGATCTCAATTACGTTCCACTGGAGGCACAGGAATGGAAAACTGAGGGGCGATGTATCGGACTCACCAATTCCTTTGGGTTTGGTGGTACTAATGCAACACTTTGTATTGCTGGCATGTAAACATTTGCTTTTAATTGTCATAAATGTAAACAATGTGTATGTCCTACATTTAAAAATCAATACCCAGATGTCTTGAACACAATTGGTATTTGTAGTAGGGCAGTTCTTGCTAGGGAAGGGGCTGCCCAGTGCTTTGTACTTTATAGCAGCTTGATGTCTCTTGGGAGATACCGAGTATCAGTGGCAACTAGTGACAATGAGATTTGTCTCTAGACATTGCCTTATGTATTCTAGGGGACAAAATAACCTGCATCCATCAACTATTTGATTTATATTTTCCTAATGCTCTGAATCAAATGACTTTTGGTGCTGTTTCATTCAGTCCTGTCCTTTTCAGATATTTAGAGAGTAGCTCCTCCAAGCAAGGCTGTGTTGCTGTGTGTTATAACTCCAGGGGTGCCATTTTTGTACAGCATATAGGAAGGAAAGATACAGGTAGGAAGGTAGGAAGGCATGTCATCAGTCAGCATCCTTTGAGGGCAACCAGTGATGACCTATTATTCACCTATCTAGGTGTCGTTAATGGACTTTCCCCCAAACTCCCAAGTTTTCATTTTTCAGAAGAAGGAGTGAAACTTGTTTGGCATTTCTTATTCTGGGTGTATTTGTGCTGTGAAGAGTGAACATAAAGATAGACCTTTTGGAAAGACACTTTTGGTAAATTAGGCCACCTTCCCATAGCCTACCTTTTTGACTGTGGCAATATTTTACCAGCTCCCCACTCTAAGAGCCAGTGGGCCCTCTACTCTGCTGCCTTGCTCCTCTAAAGTTAAAGGAGCAAGTTCCCCAGAGGTGACAACCAGGCAGGTGGGCAGGGCTTCTACTTCAGAGTAAGTGATTCATTTCAGTGCAGACCCTCAGGTCCACAGTGACATAGAGCTTCCTTCAGGTGCCACAGCATTCCCCCGGCTCAGGGACATCTTTAACCTTTATGTCCCTGTTCTGATGTCATGGCTTTTACTCCTATGAGTCAATCCCCAAACAAACTGCTTTTTCCTCTGTTCTGCTTTCTCAGTGGCTCAGACAATGAGATGGAGTAAAAGAGATGATAAATGCTTATATGCCTTCCTGCATAAATGAGTGCATTGCCACGTTTACTGAAAACTTCTTGTTTTAATTTTTTTTAGATTTTAAAAATAACATGTATGAATGTTTTCCATACATGTATGTGTGCACATCATGTGCAAGCCTGGTGCACAGGGAGATCAAGACAAGGCATTGAGCCTGGTGTACAGGGAGATCAAGACAAAGCTTCATTGAGCCTGGTGCACAGGCATCAGATCCCCAGGAACTTTAGTTATGGATGGATGTGAATCACTATGTGGGTGCTTAGGACCAAACCCTGGTTCTTTGTAAGAGCAACTAGTCTCTTAACTGCTGAGTCATCTTTCCAGGCCCTTGCCTTTAACATCTGTAAGTGTGTGGGTTGAGAGCCTGTCTTTGGATGTGTGTGCCACAGTGGTGGTCAGAGGACAACTGTGGAGTTGGTTTTCTCCTACCACTTTTATGAGTTCCAGGGATCAAACACAGGTCTTTAGGCTTACATTGCAAGCACCTTTACCTGCTCAGCCATCTCAAGGAACCAGTTTTTACATTAAAAAAAAAAAAAAAAAATAGCATCTCACTTTGTAGCAAAAGCTGACTCCAAATGTTCTGTGTATCTCAGGCTGGCTCCAAACTTCACATGAAGAACAAGCTGGCTGTGAATTCCCAAGTGTAGATGTAAATTTGTGGTACCCACTGGAACCAGATTAGTTTAATTGACTCTGACTGCATTTCTCTCTCCTTTAATGCTGCTCCAACACTGTAATCAGTATTAATTTCCATTAACATGCATTCGCTCAGTTGAGAATTTAGTGGGGGCTCTGTATTGTCACCAGGAAAAAAGTATACACTAGAGAATATTCAAATGAGGCTGAAGACATACATGCCAGCAAATCTCAAGTTAAGGGGAAGATGAGAAAGGAACAGTATTCAATGTAGAAAGATCTAGAAGTTAGAACACTTGTGCTAAACAAATTCACTATACTCTCAGGTGAGAAGTTGGGAGATAACATCAGAAGATCTGTTAGATTTTGGGTCACAGAGAACCTGGCAAGTTTCAAGTGAGGGTAATAAGCCTTTTAAGATCCGAAATGGTAGAATGGTTTTGTAATGTGTCCATTTGGCTGGGCTGAACTGCTTCCCTGCATTCACTTTTTGCATAGGGTTGGTTGTGAGAAATTTCTTAGGAGTGATATGAAAGGTGTTATTGAATCTTAATGTTGAGTCAGTGGGTAAGCCTGCAACTGTTTCTTCCTGAGTCCTGAATCATTCCTAACTCCTGCAAAGGTATGCCTTTGGCTCCATCACATTGAATAAACCCAGCTGGCCCCTGCCCATGCCATCAAAATAAGAAACAGGAACTTGCCAACGTTTCAGTTCCCCCTTGTATTTGTGGGTTCTGGTTGGCTATTGGAACTTTACAGTTGTCTTGCGGAAGTTCCCCACACCTGCTCTGTGTTTCATACTCTGTGACCAGAAGGCAGCCAGTGTTCACAGCAGCATGTGGGAAGATACTTAACAGTTCTCGAAGTTGTGTAATGCCTGAGCCGTATAAGAAGCGCTCACCTCCGTGGCTTTGTTTCTCAGGCTGAAACTTGACTGATACAAGAGGAAAGGATGTTATAGGAGAGCCATTATCACAGTTTACTTTAGAAATCTCACTGGCTGTTGAGATAGGAGCTGACCTCAGGAAAGTTTGAGTCCCTTAAGGGAATAGAGCCTGAATGGTGTTGGAAAGGTAAGCAGGATATGGTGACTCATTGTGTTCCAAAGATCCAATACCAATGGTGCTTTTTAAAACTAACTCTAAGACTCTGACATACAACTTGCCTTTAGTGTAGTTAGATGCATATTGACCAGCATGTGTGCATATCTGTAAATACTGTGTCAGTCTGTGGTGTTATATTGTTTATGATCTAATAAAGCTTGCTTAGAGATCAGAATGCAAAGCTAACCACACTAGTTAGCCATAGAGATCAGGCAGTGGTGGCACATACCTTTAATCCCAGAACCCATACTAGTTAGCCATAGAAGCTGGGTGGTGATGGCACATGCCTTTAATCCCAGCTCTGGAGAGGTGTACAAGACAGGAGCTTGGAATCAATCTCCAGTCATATTGAGAACAGGATTGCCCTAGCCTGGGTAGAGGTAAGAGCTCTCCGGTGGCTTGGCTGCTTTGTTTTCTGATCTCCAGGCCAGCTTTATTAGATCATAAACAATATATAACCACACAAGTCAAAATGAACATTTTCATCACATCTAAAATTACTTTGTGACCTGTTTCAAGAAGGTACCACTGGGGGTTCTGCTCTGCCATGCCCACTTTACCAGACACGGAAAAGCTCCCTGTCTTTGTTCAAACTGACCAACACTAAATCAGAAGAGGGAGATCTCTCCAGTCCCACAATACTTTGAGGAGAAACTGGATTTTCAGCCTCCCAAATCTACCCCTTGTTTGCAAAGGGTCCTTTCTCTGTGTGCAGTCATTTCCTCGCCTTTCTTCATCAGCTGATGTTATCTGCTGTGTTTGAGATATTTTTCTTCTGCTATGTGTGATGCTCAAAAATTTACCCTTTAATTTTTTAAGTGGTGAAGAAAACTCAAATCAAAATCCCTAGATGGTCATCCTCAAGCCATCCTCTTGGCAGGCCTTGGCGTTGTCCCATCCCTCCTCCCCTCCGTGTTGTAACCCAAGTTTTCATTTCTAAGTAATGTGAGTCATTGGTGTTTGTTCCCTATCTTTTTTCATGCACAAATGTGAGGACCAGAGTTTAGATTCCCAGCATCCTGTAGATGCCAGGCTACTGTTAGTCTAATGTGGTCCCAAGCACTTCAGTCTGAGACTCTGCCTACTCAGTTCTAAGTGTTTATTGGTCTTACGAAACAGTTCTGAGGTTCTCTGCATTGTGTATCACAAGACTCTGGGATTCAGACATGAGAGCATATCATAAGCTATGCAAGTAGGCTGCTTGGATATTGTTGGGCCCATTAGCCAGATGCAGTGTGTGTGCTTTGGAACAGCTGATGAGGAGGGCTGGATAGAGTGAGTTGGCATTCATTTGCTATACTCTGCAGGTGCTTCTGGTGAGTATGAATGGGACCCAGAAGGCTTCACTCTAACACGGTGTCTACACACCCACTCACTCACAAGCTCCTATTAAAACACTCTTCTCTCATTACAATCCATGCTTCTCCTAGATGCTTAACCAAAAGCCAGGACTGCTCTATACATTACCGGAGTGTGGTGGTTAAAGGAAGAAATGTGCTTCATAGGTTCATGCGTTTGGGCACTTCATCTGCAGTCGGTGATGCTGTTTGGGTGATGAAACCTGTAGGAGGGATAGCCTTGCTGGAGGGGAGCTTGTCACTGCCAGTGGCCTTTGAGAGTTTACAGCTTTGCCCAGCTTCTGCTTTACTCCCTGTTCTCTGTGAACAGTTGAAGGTGTGATCTCTCAGCTTTCTGCACCAGCTCTTTTGGGGGAAGGGGAAGGATTAAGGTCATATGTTTGCTGCCCAGGAGTCCCTGTTTTCAGAGTCCAGCAAAGAATCGAATGGCTAGGAATGAAATAAGACTCAGAAATGAGTGTCTGTTGAAGCAGAAAGTACCCTGCTGGGAAAGGCAGTGTCTCGGAGCTATAGACCATCAAGTGGACTCTGGGCTGATCTTTTATAGTACCCCTCACTCTCCCTTTTTTTGATCCCCACTTTTTCTTAAGCTCATTACTTTATCTCCTCAGCCTAAATGGCCTTTGGTCCAGGGAGATAACAAAGGCTAGGAGGAAGCATTCTGGAGGCAGAGCCGGGATATCCGGGACATTATCTCTCGATGGTTCAGCTGCTTCTATGGGAATTTTATCTCTTTCCCTCTGACCTCTTCCCCAGTTGTGTAGTCCCTGTTAGGTCCTCATATATCCAGCTGGTGTCATGCCTGCCCTGTCACTATGGACTCCACTTTGGAACAATAAGCTAAACTAAGCTCTCCTT